TCCTCCTCCTCCTCCTCTTCTTACCCCCAAGATGGCTCAAGGCATGACCAACAACAGCACAACCACTTGCTCCAAGATGGCCCCAAGAGGGCAACAAAGCACCACAAGCATCAACACCAGCAGCATCACCACCACCGCCACCACCACCATCACCAGCACCAGCAGCCGCACACGAGTTTAATATAAACTTCAGTGCGGGGGCTGAGATCATGGATGCATATGGGGATACGACTCTCAATTGTGCGACAAGGGCGACGACTGATAGATACAGAAACCTGCGCCAGAGACGCTTACCACAGGGAGCACCCCGGCGTACCTTGCACCGGCTTCCATCTTAAACCTCGTTGCGGGAAGCTGTGTGTGATCCTTGTTTTTTCATGGCCCAGGGTGGCTACAGCCACCTGCGCTAGAGACGCTTACCACGGGGAGCACCACGCCACATCTCGCACAGGTTTTCCATCTTACACTTCAATACGGGAAGCAAGGTGTGGTCCTTATTTCTTTTCTGAAACGGCCGCACAACAGCATGCTTCCACCCGCCCCTGATTACCAACTCCCTTGCTCATCGGTTCTGGAAGGGCTGGTGGGGATACTTTATCGCGACCGCGTCGAGAGAAGTCGGGCGGCGTCAAGGGCGCAACGAGCAAGCGGCCGCTTGAATTACGCGCACCGAGAGAGGACAAAAAAGAAAAGAATAAGAAAGCGGGGAGAGGAACTGACAAAACGGGAGGCGAGCCTCGCTGCCGCTCATGGAAGGGCGCTGTCGACCAGAAAGATCTCCCAGGCGAACCACAACACCAAAATGGCGAAATTCGGGTTGAACGACACCACGAACATGCAGAGGAGGACCATCAGCAAAACGCACAGCGAATCCAGCGCCAAGTCATGGAACCGCGGATGACACTGACAGCCGCGTCGCGCGCCTCGGTGGGCGTCGATAAACGCCACGCGGGCGCTCAACGGACCAGAGTCCAGATCGCCAGACACCGTCGGGACAGGTGTCGAGGAGGGTGCCGCCTGGGCGGGCGCGGGCGGCGCGCGCCACCAAAAAGGCGAGGGGGCCCAGCATAGGGACCGCCGGGGGGAGCTGGAGCGGTGGAGGAGGACCAGGAGTCCGTCGACCCCACGCCGGGGGGGAGGCCGCGGGCCACTGGAAGAAGAAGGGCCGGCAGGCAGAGCCAGAGAGGCAGCCGGGGACAGGCGGACGACAGATCGGGACGGTCCGCGCCGGCCGCCAAGGAGGAGGCCAGGCGGCACCTTGAGCAGGGCAAGGGCCGCCAGGCGGGGCGTCGTGGGTGGCAAGCCACGGCGGCGAGACGTCCCGGGCGCCCCGGAGCCCCCGAGCCAGAAACGGGACAGAGCGCCGAAGGAGGCCCCGAGCGCCCCACGCAGCGCGAGGCGAAAGGGGGGGGCCCAGCACCGAGCGGCGAAGGGCCACAAGGGACCCAGTGACAAGGGCCCACTGGGAGGCCAGACGCGCGCCGAAAGCCCCAGCTGGGCGCGCGCCGGGCGGCATTGGGCACGAGGCCAGCGCGGCCTCAGAGCGGCAGCGGGGAGGGCGGGCGCGGGGCGAGCGGGCGCTGGGGGCGGGCGAGGGGGCCGGCGCCCGCAGGGGGGAGTCGCGCCAGGGCCAGACGAAGAGCGACTAACGGTCGCAAGATGGGAAGAGAGCCCGGGAGCGGGCCGCGCGGGCGCCGGAAGACCGGCGGGAAGGCCGGCGCACGTAGGTCGCGCCAGGGGCGGACGAAGATCGACTAACGGTCGCGAGATTGGTGGGCGAGGGGGCGCCGACGGGGGACCGCCGGGGAGAGACCCCCACGGCGGGTGAGACCAGGTCAACGCCCCGCCGAAGGGCTGGAAGGCTGGGGCGGGGGGGGCAACAGAGGGCGGGCGGGGGCCCGGAGAGGGGTGGCCAGCGACAGCCACGCGGCAAAGGAGAGGCCTAAGCGGCGCCTTGCGCGGAGCATGGCCGCTGGGCGGGTGCCGCGGGGAGCAGACACGGCGGTGAAACGCCCCGGGCGCCCTTAAGGTCTCGCGGCAACAGACGGAGGGGGGCGCCGAGGAGGCCCCGCGCGGCCGCCTAAGGCGGGGGCGAGGGGGGTGGCCCGGCACCAAGGGGCAGGGGGCTACAAGGGGCCCATTGACAAGGGCGCACTGAGATGCTGGACGTGCGCCGAAAGCCCCAGCTGGGCGCGCGCTGGGCGGCACTGGGCACGAGGCCGGGGCGGCCTCTGGGGGGGCCGCAAGTAGGGCGGGCGGGGGGCCTGGTGGGCGGAAGGGAAGAGAGCCCGAACATGGGCTTCTCGTGCGCAAGGAGCGGCAAGGAAGCCGGCGCCCGCGGGGGGGGGCGCGCCAGCGGGGGACGAGGAGGCGACTAGCAGTCGCAAGCTGAGTGAAGCAACGAAGAATCGCGAGGCGGAAGCCACCAACGGTCGCGACTCTTGGTAAGGAGGGGGAGCGCAACAAGCGTTGGGGGCGAAGCAATAACAAGGCTCCCAGACGCGCGGAGGGGCCCACTGCCGTGCCCAGAGCAGGCGTGTGCTCGCGGCACGGCCGGAGGCCACCTGGCCCGGCTGCCTGGAAGCGCTGGCTGCACGATGGCCATCGCCCTTGCCCTTGTGCCGGGCAAATTCCCCTTTCGCCCGACTGGCGAACTTGTCGCGGACAACCGTCCACTTGACTCGAAGGCGGAAGGCTGGCGGGGATACTTTATGTTGATTGCGAGCGACGCGGAGGCAGCCGCGCACCGTCAAAGGGTCGAACAGCGCAAGGCCAAGGCGCACAGCGCAACTGTCGCCAGCGGGGCGCAGGAAAAGAGGGCCACGATGGCGGCGAACACTACCAGGCGAAGCGCAGCGGCAACGCGGCAGAGGCGAGGGCTACCGAAGAAACAAAAGAAGAAGACGAAAGGGCGAACAACAAAGGAAGAGGAGGAAAGAGCACGAGCGGAGAAGAAGGGGAAACGAAGCGAACAGAAGAGAGGGCAAGCCGCGGCTCACGCTCGCACCGGGCGGGAGACGACCGCCCCTTGCCGAACCACTGGAACTTGTGGTAAGGCTGACACAACGCGGGCAGCTTTACCGTCACCGAGCGGCCGCAAGCACGGGGGGCGAGCACGCGCACGGCACGCAGGCACCATCCGCCAGGTCAGCTCCAGGACCGC